CTGCACTCTGCATGTGGCTCAGAGGCTCCCCCTCTGCCTTACCTTCTGGCCTTGGGTCTGAGAAAGAAGACCCTCCAGTGGATGCTGGAAATCGCGGAAGGAGCGGACTGCTAGCCTCTGGTTCCCCCTAGTGGCCGGCTCGGGCAGATATGACCTGGAAACAGGTAGAAATATGTATTATCTGCCCCGGGGAGGGGTGGGGGTTGGCTTATGTAGCATTTTCAGCCCGCAGGGACGTGTGAATCAGTGGATACAGATCCCGCGGATGGACGGGTCCATCTGCGGTTCCATGGTGCCTCTGGAGGCATAGCGATGCACCAGCTAGGCTCCTAGCACGAGAATGGTACCCCTGAGCCCTGGGCAAGGGACTTAGAGAATTTCTCCTACTGTTGTATGGTGTGGTGTTGTGGGTAGAGGAACAGACTAAGCTTCAACTGGGGCTGGGTTCGAATCTCCACTCAAGAGGTGGTCAACTCCGACTGGCGGGATTGGACTCGCAATTGCCGTCCCGTCCCTGCCGGCCTCCTGGGTGCGAATCAAGCCGGCTGGACATGGTTTCACCGCAGAAAGCGGACCGGGGGAGCGTGCGGGGAGGGGGTGTGAGCCGGAGCCGGATTGCACCGCCCATGGGTGCCTTTCCTCGGGTCTTTTTCCCGGCTGCGGTGCTCGCTCTCACCCTCCCTCTCCTTGCAGTTAAGGCCACCATGCCAATCTGGGTGGTGCTGCTTTCCCGGATCATCATGAAGGAGAAGCAAACCACCAAGGTAACGGGGTGGGGGGGTCGCATCCCAGATCCAGCTAGACTTCTCCTTCGTGGCCCGAGGGGAGGGGGGAAACGGGGCTCAGAGGGAGCCCCTCAGAAAACCCCAAACCTGGCTCTTCCCCTTTTTTCCCTGCAGGTGTACCTCTCGCTCATCCCCATCATCGGAGGGGTCCTCCTTGCCACGGTCACGGAGCTCTCCTTCGACACCTGGGGCCTGCTCAGCGCCCTGGCGGCCACGCTGTGCTTCTCCCTGCAGAACATTTTTTCTAAAAAGGTACCCCTTCTGCCTCTCGCCGGGTGGGCCTCGGGCTCTGTGTGTGTGCGTATGTGTGTGTGTGTGTTACGCCTGCATGCTTGTTTCTGACCCCACTTTTGCTCCAGGTGTTGAGAGATTCACGAATTCATCATCTGCGGCTTCTGAATATCCTCGGTTGCCATGCTGTCTTCTTCATGATCCCAACGTGGGTTCTGGTCGATCTCTCCGCCTTCCTCGTAGAGAATGACTTGGTAGGTCTTGCTCGGCTTAGGGTGAGCCCTCGGTCTCCTCTGGGATCCCAAAGGGGACTGAGCCGTCCCCGGTAGATACAAACCTCCCGTTTCTGGAAGCGCTAAGAAAGATGCGTTTGTGGGAAGTTCAGGCCGCTGGAATAGCAGGATTCCAGTATCCACGAGGATCGGTTCCAAGTCCCCACCCCACCCTCGAGGACGCTGAAAAATGCGGAAGTTTTGAACGCTATACACGGCGTGGGCTCTGGCCCCCTCTCGTGTCTCGGTCTGTGAAATACTTGCTGGAAATGTGTATAAATACTGTACATATTTCTGGGGTTTTTTCATTTAGTAGTTTTAGGCAGTGGGGAAGTGAATCAGCGAATCCTTATCCCACAGGCCGGGAAGACCTCCCTGGATTACAGAACTCTTTCAGGAGACAATGGAGCGGAATTAATAAATATCCTAAATCTTTCTCCTGTCTGAGTAAAATGGAAGGAGGGGAGCCAGGAGAGGTTTGCTCCCTGTGACACTTAACATGTTTCTGTACGAGCGGGCCCTCCAATTTCTCAGGGTGGTGGTGGTGGTGCTGCTGCTGCTGCTGCTGCTGGGATTCCTCGTGAGATAGTGGTTCTTCCGTTGGGTGATCCCTTTTTTCTCCAGCCAGGCGAACCGCTCTTCCAGAGCCTGCTTTCCCTTTTTGCAGAGTTCCATGGCCCACTGGCCGTGGATCATCCTCCTCCTGGCCGTCAGCGGCTTCTGCAACTTCGCCCAGAACGTCATTGCCTTCAGTATCCTGAACCTCATCAGCCCGCTGAGTTACTCCGTGGCCAATGCCACGAAACGGATCACCGTCATCACCGTCTCCCTGATCATGCTTCGGAACCCCGTCACCGGCACCAACGTCCTGGGGATGATGACCGCCATCCTCGGAGTCTTCTTGTACAACAAGGTCGGTGTGGTGTGTGTGCAGAGAGCCGCTGAGTTGTTTATTTATGCATTTTTTTTAAAAAAACCCACACATTTAAATTTTTGTAATCCTTTAAAAAAAAATTAACAAAGCTTGTTTCTTTTATAGACCAAATACGACGCCAACCGGGAAGCCAAGAAGCAGCTCCTGCCCGTCACCACGGGGGATCTGGTCAACCTGGACCCGCTCCGCGGCCACGGGGCTGAAAAGTCTCACAACGGACTGACTTCTTTTACCCGCCAAGGGGACTTCCCATACGGAAGCCGGGCTGGTGGTGTCCTTGCGGATCACTTCCAGTACAGCCGCCCGAACTACCCTACGTTGTACGGCGCCAGCCGCTACGATATCTAGCAAGGAGGCGCAGGCTGTCGGTCTGGGACGGCCTGGCACATGCACGCACCTCCGCGTGCCTGTTGAGACTCCAAAGGAGGAACAGCTCTCTTCGTATGTGCCCAGTGGCATCAGGGTTAGGATGGTTGGATGGCCCTCCGTAACAAGTGGAAGCAACCGCTGAGCTGGCTGATCAGAAATTTCCAATTTCAGCTGCTATGCCAGCCAGATACCTTCGGATTTTTTCCCTTTGCCCACGGCAAGAGAAGCGTGTCGCGAATCTCCTCTTCCTTTTAAGATCTTCGGAGGACAACCTTACTGCGTTTTTCTTAAGCTGTAGGATTAGTTTGTAAAGCAGGACGGAAGCCGATCCGGGCCCCCCTTTTCCCTCCAGGGAGGCTCAGGAGCAGCGTGCAGTTCGTTGTGTGTTCTGTAGCACTTGTGACTGTGTGAAAACAGCTCCTCGTCTCTTGACGCTGGGGCATCATCTTGTAAAGGGCGGCCGGTGGGGGGACCCTCAGAGCTGCTTTTGCCTTGTTTTCAGGGCCGGGCGATGGCACCGACTTGTTTTAAAAAAAAAGAATAATCATGTACCGTTTGGGATTTGCTGCTTGCAGTGGGCGGCAAATTGAAACCTGGCCCTTAAGCACTCCGTTTTCCTATTTAAATCATGATCTCTGGAAACCTTGTTTTGGCTCCTTGTCTTCCGCAGGTAGTAAGAGGCACCTGAATAGAAACGTTTGCTAGGAATATATTAGAACCGTGGTACCCACTGTGGATTGGACCTAAGCACCCCCGCGGATGCTGAAAAACGCAGATATATCACACACTATATGTTGCATGGCCTCTGGCTCTCTCTAGCGGCCAGCTCTAGTAAATACACCCTGGGATTAGGTATAAATAGGTACAGTATTTCTGAGTTTTTTATTATTTAGTATTTTCAGCCAGCGGATAAATGAATCAGCAGATACTGAACCTGCGGATAGGTGGGTCCTACTGTAGCAAAGTCTACTACGAATGTAGCACAACAGAAGCTTGAGAAGCTGTGGATTTCCTTGTTTCTCCTGCTCAATTTTGTAGGAAGTTACTTTAAGGCCTTCCATCGCTCTAGATACCAAATTTGGGAAGTCCGTATTTTAATTTATAGTCAGTCCTTTTACGTTCCTTCCTGCCAGTACATTTGCTGGTCTGGCTGACTTCTGCCTTTTTTATTTATTTTATTGTCCTTCCATTTCTCCTGGAGCTGCCTGCTCCTTACCTTGCATTGATCGGTTGTCCAACAGGAGCCAAAATGTACAGCTCACCTCTCTGTGTCCCTGTGAGTTAATCCTGTTGCTGCTAAGTTTGGCCAGGTAAATAAAAAAGGGAATTATAAGAGGACCACGACATCTGTAGGGGACTGGTTGCAAAACCCTTCCATGGATGCTGAAAATCGCGGATGATAGCCAACGGTACACCTACTCTGGCCTCTGGCTCCCTCAGGTGGCCAGTTCTTGTAATTTCACCTTTAGACATCTCTGTTTCTTGGGGTTTTGTGTTAACATTTTCAGGGGGTGGATCTGTGTGAGTCAGCAGATGCTGATCCCACGGATACGGGGGTCCTACTGACATTTCAAGCCTTTGAAGCGGGACCCTGCTAGAGAGCGTTGGTCTCGACTCTGCATTTGCACCCCAGGAAGGTCCTTCCTCAGATCCTTGCAATATTTTCTTTCTTTTTTTTTCCCCTGGGGAAAAATGGACATTTTCCAAAATTTTACATTTCTCTCTCCTTGGCATCTGTGAATGGCTTCATCTGGATCGATCGGTGTATATATTTTCATGCTCCTATCCTAAAGCAGGTGAACTTTTAGAAACGTGGGTTGTCGTGTACAGCAGGTGAACTTTTAGAAACGTGGGTTGTTGTGTACAGGAACCCTGTGTGTGTATGCGTGTGTGTGTGTGTGTGTTCTTTTTTTTAAAAAAAGCCTGCAGACTTAAAAAACTTGGAGAAAGCCCAGGCCTGTTGTAATTATGCGTTTTAAATATGGAACATGTAAATAAAGCGGGATTCTGCTGAGTTGAAATACCTCTCATGGCTTCGGTTGCTTGGGAAACGGGCGGTGTTCTGGGTCGGGACCCTTGTTCAGTCATTCCCAACCATGGGTTGTCCGCGCCCCCCCCCCAGCCTGCAGACTTAAAAAACTTGGAGAAAGCCCAGGCCTGTTGTAATTATGCGTTTTAAATATGGAACATGTAAATAAAGCGGGATTCTGCTGAGTTGAAATACCTCTCATGGCTTCGGTTGCTTGGGAAACGGGCGGTGTTCTGGGTCGGGACCCTTGTTCAGTCATTCCCAACCATGGGTTGTCCGCGCCCCCCCCCCACCGGGGTTCTTTGAATATGACTCCCGGCACCT